TTTTGTGGGGAACTATTTAATTTCAGAGAATATACTATTCCTCTTGACATCTACTTTGTTCTTGGGGCTTATACCATAGCAGCATATTCACATCCCACACTTAAACAGGTCAGCCACAATCAAGTGTTTTTTGTTTTGACACATGCAAATCCAGAATATGACTAAATTCACTAGTATTTCTATGCAGACTCATCTGGCAAGACACTTTCTAATATCATCCACATTCTGCTCTTCCTGTTTCTGCATGTGGCAGAGATTTTCACTCTGGGATGGATAATTTAAAAGGCGTGGCACATTCCTGTAGGATCCATTCTTAAAATTCAGAATGGCTTTGTATGCAAAGAAAAACGCCAGTCAGTTGTCAACACATACATAAAAGCATGTCCTGTGCTTGGCTGAAGCAGGTATAGCATCCTTAAAGAGACAAGCTTAGTGAATCATATGGCGTTACTGAAGAATTGGTGGAACTTCCTCTGGATATTTTAGACAAGCAATTGGAAAAGTAATTTGTTTTAGGTAACAGTTGGGCTATGCCAGTGATGGCAAGCCTTTTGAGGTCTATTCGATCAAAACTTCAGAAAATGCCTAACATGATTTTGCTGGTACAACATGAACAAAAGAGAAACCATTTGTTTACATATTTTTAAAAAATATAGACCAATGATCTATGGTGCTATATATTATATAAAGAAACTCCAAATAATTGAAATGAAATACTCAGTCCATCCTTCTTAAAGAGGCCATGTTTGAAAACCACCAGGACACACATAGCTACCTCCAACTCAGTGGGCCCCTTAGCACCCACAGGAACCCAGCCAGTCAAACTTGGTAAACTGCCTAAGATCTTCAATCAGAAAAGAGCTGGATGGGACCTTGGAGGTCTTCTAATCCAACCCCCTGCTCAAGCAGGAGACCCTATATACCATTTCAGACAAATGGTTGTCCAATGTCCTCTTAAAAAACCTCCCACAACTTCCAGCCATTCCACTGGTTGATTGTCCTCGTTGTTAGGAAATTTCTCCTTAATTCCAGGTTGCTTCTCTCCTTGATTAATTTCCAACCATTGTTTCTTGTCCTGCCTTCTGGTGCTTTGGAAAATAAGTTGACTCCCTCCTCTTTGTGGCAGCCTCTCAAATACTGGAATACTGCTACCATGTCACGTCTAGTCAATAATGATGATGATGATGATAATTGGAAGGGACCTTGGAGGTCTTCTAGTCCAACCCCATTTCTAAACTTGTCATTCCCAATTCCTGCAGCCATTCTTCATAGGTTTTAGTCTCCAGGCCTTTAATCATCTTAGTTGCTCATCTTTGCACTTTTTTTTCCAAAGTCTCAGCATCTTTTTTGTGATGTGGTGACCAAAACTGGACACAATAGTCCAGGTATGGCCTTACTAAGGCTTTATAAAGCGGTACTAATACCGCTGGCTCATGTTTCAGTGATCGTCTGCTAGGACTCCAAGGTCCCTCTCACAGTTACTGTTTTCCTTTGGTTTTTCCTGCCTAGGTGTAAAACCTTGGTTTTCTCACCAAGGAGTACAGAGAAGAGCCACAAAGATGATTAGGGGACTGGAGGCTAAAACATATAAGGAACGGTTGCTGGAATTGGGTATGTCTAGTTTAA